CGGGACCAGAAAAAAACTTTAACCGGGACCGGGACCGGGACCAAAAACGTTTTAGCGGGACCAGACCGGGACCGGGACCAAAAAAAAGTCATTTTGCAGTTCCCTAGTCTCTAATCATACTGTATTTTTTCTTTTTGTATTCCAAGATATTAGTATGACAATAATAAAATGACTTATGAGATACGAAAAGCTTTACTTGAAAAAGTGATAGAGTTAAGAACATTATACAGTCTCAGATTCTGGTTCCAGTCCCAGTAAAGTATTTTTGTTTGGCTTCGATCCCTCACATCTCTATCTATGACTCTGACGCACACAATTCGAGAGAGCATGCAGCCCTCTCGCAATGCTTCTCTCCTAATGTATCATCAAAATCGAGGCGTTTATGCGCTTCTAAGAAACGTCAACTTCGGATGGATTTCTGCAGGTTCTCCTGGAGAGATCTCTCCAAAGTCGCCTTGTAATTTATGGGAGTTCCATACAAATTTTCGATACACGTTCATTTCTTTTAGGTAGCTCAGCGTTTGCTTTAAGAGAAGCCCTTTCTCGAATTCGAAAAATGAACTTTTTCGATGTCGATTTGTTCATCATAAATAAAGCAGTCAAATATCCCCGATCAAATGTCATGTAAACGAGAAGCTTCGCTGTTATTTTTCGTCAAATTCAGTTTTAGACATCAGTTATGAATATCCACACTGTCATTATCGTTTGTGTTATGACTCTCTTTTGCCATAACACTATTGCCTATACTACATGTGAGTTTTGTCGAAGAGCGAGTTCATAAGTCTACCGTGGCTTTGTCGACTTTAGGACAAGGCAGCAGCATCTGGGTGGATTGGTATAAAGACGAATGCACCGCCTACATAAATGTGATGAAAGCAGTTTATTTTGTGTAGGATATGGGTGTGGATATGGCATTGTTGCAACTGGTAAGGTTTTTTCCTTACTGGCACTGGTACTGACCTAAACCGGTCAGACAGGATCGAACCGGCCAGTAGACCGGTACAAGTCATTTTTCACATTTCTAATCCTATAAGAGTCAAATGAACACTTCGATTACTCATGCCTACTGTAACGAAGTATGAAGAGACTATTTCATTATTACTGCAGTATTTATTTTATTGTTGATCAACATTGAGAAACTGAAGGAGTAGCGTTACCGCTATTATCCTCAGTGTATGATGTTCACTACACTACTTCATCACTCCAGCTCTGACCATTTTACATAGAACACGACCTTATATAGGAGAGAGAAATGAGAAGAGAGAAATAATGAATAGAGAACAGTGTAAGCAATAGAAACAATTGGTCAATGAGGTCAGTGTCTAGAAGAATAGTGACCGATTGACCTTATACGATAAAGCGGATAAAAGATGAAGATGAGACTGCCTTTATTATTGGCACACCTACCTCTTTTGAATTTTTTATTCAAGATAAAAAGTCAAAAAATGAACATTTTCTTCCTCTTCTCCTGCATCACGACTGTATTTCTGTGCACATTGTTACCTGAAATGAGCGCACAACGATTATGTCCGCCCGGAACGTTTAATTCAAGCCGACGTTCTAACTCGTCTGGGACCTGCGTTAACTGTTCTGTTGGCACATACAATCCATATCCCGGACAATATTCATGCAACATTTGTTCGCCTGGATATTATTGTGACACTGTTGGAGCAACTGACCAACGCTCATGTCCGGTCGGAACGTATAATTTAAACGGAGGTTCCAACTCGTCCAAAGCTTGCATCAAGTGTCCTGTTGGCACGTACAATCCAAATACTGGACAATGGTTATGCACCACCTGTGAGGCTGGATATTATTGTGACACTGTTGGGGCAACTTCTCCAAGCGCATGTCCGGCCGGAACGTATAATCCAAACGGAGGTTCCAACTCATCTCAAGCTTGCATCAGGTGTCCTGTTGGCTCGTACGCTGAATATACTGGACAATCTTTCTGCACCACCTGCTCAGCTGGATCTTATTGTGACACTGTTGGAGCAAGTAGCCAACATGAATGTCCGGCCGGAACGTATAATCCAAACGGAGGTTCCAACTCGTCTCAAGCTTGCCGCAACTGTCCTGTTGGCTCGTACGCTGAATTTACTGGACGATCTTTTTGCACCACCTGCTCAGCTGGATATTATTGTGACACTGTTAGAACAAGTAGCCAACATCCATGTCCGGCCGGAACATATAATCCAAACGGAGGTTCCAACTCGTCTAAAGCCTGTGTCAACTGTTCTGTTGGCTCGTACACTTCATCTAGTGGACAATCTTTATGTACCACCTGCTCAGATGGATATTATTGTGACACTGTTGGAGCAAGTAGCCAACATGAATGTCCGGCCGGAACATATAATCCAACCCGAGGTTCCAACTCGTCTCAAGCTTGCCGCAACTGTCCTGTTGGCTCATACACTGACTATACTGGAGGATCTTTCTGCTCCACCTGCTCAGCTGGATATTATTGTGGCACTGTTGGAGCAAGTAACCCAAGCCCATGTCCGGCCGGAACATATAATCCAAACCGAGGTTCCAACTCGTCTCAAGCTTGCCGCAACTGTCCTGTTGGCTCGTACACTGAATATACTCGACAACGTTTCTGTACCACCTGCTCAGCTGGATATTATTGTGGCACTGTTGGAGCAAGGAACCCAAGCCCATGTCCGGCCGGAACATATAATCCAAACAAAGGTTCCAATTCGTCTAAAGCCTGTGTCAACTGTTCTGTTGGCTCGTACACTTCATATGCTGGACAATCTTTATGTACTACCTGCTCAGCTGGATATTATTGTGACACTGTTGGGGCAACTGCTCAAAGAGCGTGTCCTGCAGGAACGTATAACCCAAGCAGAGGCTCCATCTCGTCAAAAGCTTGCCTCCAGTGTCCAGGTGGCTCGTCCAATTCATCATCTACTGGACAATCTTCATGCACCAGTTAATCGGTCAGCCATGTGTGTCTCAATCCTGCAAATTTCCTGTTATCTTATCCAAAATATAATCTAACAACAGTTTTATAATTGAGCATCTACGTTTCGTTTATTCACTAATCTAAAATAACAAATAATCCAGGATTAAAATACTTTTCGCTTTTATTCTATATTTTATTATATCTAAAAAGTGTCTTCTCTTTTCTCTTTCGTAACATATTTAATCTTTTTATAATAAGAATTGGGTACGAGAAAATATACATCTGTTATCCGCTACAAATTGTTCGGTACACTACTGTTCTACGAATGACTTCGAAGTCTGGTTGTGGACTGAGTGTAGATGTGGGCTGGGTTTGGATGAGTGTGAATGTGAAGTGTTGGCCTGAATGTGGCGTGAGTATAGTGCTTCTTTTTTCTTATTCAATCATTCACGCCCACACGCCACATCCATGCATCAAAAGAAAGTATACTAAATATAACTTACGCGGCTAACACTACCATTCAGTTACTATAATCAGAAATTTTAAAATGAGCATATATAAATCAACTAGTGTACTGCATGATCGTTAACTTAACCGTCATGATCACATATGATCGAGATCGTAGGTGATTAGAAGATTTTTTCGTGATCGTGAATGACAAGTAGGTTTCTTTGTGATCGTGGTCGACGCTAAGATTTTATTATCGCGATTTTAATATATATGCGTTCAAAACCTCAAGTATTTATTCATAAATTCAATGTTTATATTAAGATCAGCAAGACACCTGAGAATGACGATGATACTTTTAACAAAAAAAGAAGAAAATAAAATAACGGATGTGCTCAAATAAATTGGGCTGATTGTCTTTTTAGTATTTCTTCTCTATCCTTCACTCTATCTAAACACTTTTCATATCAAAAGGTAGTGCCTGATATTCTGCACTAGGGTGTGGGTGTAGGTGTGGGGTGTGAGTGTGGGGTGTGGATGTGAGTGGGTGTGGATGTGGGGTGTGAGTGTGTGGTGTGAGTGTGGGGTGTGGGTGTGAGTGGGTGTGGGTATGGGGGTGAATATCGTCTTTGTTCACATCCACATCCACACCCACACCCACACCCACACACCCACACCCACACCCACACACCCACACCCACACCCGCACATCCACACCCACACACCCACACCCATACACCCACACCCACACCCACACCCACACACCCACACCCACCCACACCCACCCACGCCCCACCTTCTGTGAATCTCATGTATATCGCCCACATCCCTATACAGATAGTCCTGAGATACACTGGGACAACAATGAGGACCCTATCCCCCCATTTCTATGCCAGAGTTTATGAAAGTGATATCTAAAGTGAAGAAAAAACATTCCATAGATGCACATGGTATATCAGCCTATATGCTTCAATTTATTTCTAATACATACTTGGGAGCAATACTGGAGCTATATAATGATTCACTTACCACATGCACGACACCGTCTTATTGGAAACACGTTAAGATGAAGTTGCTTGCCAAAAAGGAATCGATCTGCTACGTGAAAGACACTAGACCGATTTCCCTGTTAGATATTTTCCTAAAGGTACTTGAACGGTTGTTTCTCATTCGATTTCAGCACGTACTTAAAAATAGAGGTATCCTGAATGACTCCCAATCAGGTTTTAGATCTAATTTTAGGTTACAGACCTGCGTTCTTAATCTGATTGATCAAATCTCTTCCTTAATGAGTACAAGTACACCTGTCGCCACCGTTTTCGTAGATTTCAAACAGGCTTTTGACCAGCTCTGGTGGACTGGATGCCTAGGTAAACTATCTCGGTTAGGAATACCAAAAGCATACGTATTGTGGATTGAGTGCTGGCTAAAAGACAGATGGGGTTTTATTGAAATAAAAGACAAACGTTCAAGGCTCTTCCCGATCTCCAAAGAAGGGCCTCAAGGTTCGTGCTTGAGCCCCGCTATCTTTATTACGTATCACAGCGATATGTGGACCTTCCTCGAAGGTACTCTTCCTAACTTCTTTGCTGATGATTTAGCATGCGTGCTGGGAGGTATGATGAGAATCAAGTACTCACAGCAGTGTCTCAACCTTGAGTCGAAACTCAAGAAATTGTTTGAGTACCTTGAGTATTATGCTACCTTATCGGTACAACCGATAAATTATGAAAAAACCGAACTACTTTGGTTGGCATGCGCTGTTGGTAATCCTAGTTTTGATATCGCAATAGGAGATCATAAAATAGCCTGGGTCAAGAGTTTTAGATATCTTGGTTACCATATATCGTGCAAACTTGGTTGGTACAAGATGATTTCCTTGTACAAAGGTAAGATTAGGCAAAGAGTAGCCATAGTGAAGGCATGTCATATGTACGGTTGCTCTTCTCAAGAATTTCCTAGGATCCTGTTCTCCACCTACGTCCTGCCCCTATTCACGTGGTTGTTTAGTATTTTCCCTATACTTACTGATTGCCAAAAGAATGACCTTAGCCACTTTTACTACACTTGTTTGAAGCGAATTCTAGGAGTTCCTAACTGGAACGACCTTGTTTTTGCGTCCATATATGACGAAAAATCCTTAGAAAATCTATGCGCTAGATACTGGAGAAAGTATCGTATCCATTTGAATAATTCAATTCATGGTTCCATTTTGTTCGAACATCAAGTGTTAAATTCATTTAGAAGCCAGTGGCTGGACCATGAATATGTAATAAGATGGGTGTATAGGTCCAATAGATTGGTACCATTCGTCCCGAGCATTGAGTTTTGTCTAAGTTGGCTAGAAAATAACCCTACTAATTCTATTCCGCTTATACTCAAAGATGACCTCGAGATATTCTCGGAATTTCCTCAGACATTTTTATGAATACTAAGCGATGTTAGCTCGTGTTCTTTCCATTTTTTTTCTCTCATTTTTTTTCAGGCGTATGTTACTTGGTCTGCCTTTGGGTTCTTTTCTTCTGTGTTCGTTTTTGGTTTTTGCTTATGTTCTTCTGTGTTGTTCATTAGTTGTGTGACGGCTCTCTATTCATCTTGTGTTTAGCTCTTGTATCATTTGGATCCTTATCTTCTCTTCTGCTCTGTGTTTTGCAGTCGTTCTCTTCTTGTTCCTCTTGCATATATATTTTTCCTTTTACTAGTAACGTTGTTAACATATGAACGATGTCTTAAAAGGCCTTCGAGCATTAATTCTGCCTTCAACAAGCGTAATTAAAAAAAAATCGATTATTACCTTTCGAATACTAATCAACTATTATCATTTGATGTACAATTAGACGATGAAATAATAAAGAGAAATATTCTTCATACTGAGCTTTTAAAAGAACGACAACGAGCAGAAGAAGCACGTCGTGTCGGCGAAGAGGATATAACATTATATAATATATCAATTTCATTCGCTATTCTATGTGCTGCTTTACATGAAGGAGAAAATCAACCGGATGAAATAGCCCAAGAAATAATGCAAACAATTTTACTCATAATTGATCCTCTTCTTCGTCTACATGCATTAGCTATCATTTTGCACTTGTCACAATATTACAGAATATCAGAGAATAATCTCGCTTGGATATCGAAAGAATCTCAAATATCACTCAATTCTCATGCTTTACTTTTTCTTATCTGGTGGACAGCATTTGCTTGTCATGCTGATATTCGAATAATTTATTACTATGCTAATCGATTAATTGATTATCTATTTAGGAATATAAATACGGATTCAACTGATATTCAACAAACTGTTTGTCAATCATTATTACAAGCATTAGATCATGAAATTTATCCATATGTACGCCCACGTATATCTCAATTTATTCGTCAAAGTCAATGGTTCGATTCGTCCAATCTCGCTGAAATATTACAAATGTATTCTTCATCATCATTCAATCCATTGATTGGAATTGATTCAAATAGAATTTTTCAAAAAGAATCCACATCGACTCTATTAGCTTCAATGTATTTAATGCAATTAAGTATCGATCTTCTCTATTTACCTGGTTGGTTCAACGTTGAAACATCGATCAACGAATAACAAACATCATCTGATTTAACTCGTCTCGAACAATATGCAATAGATCAACTCAATATTTCAAGTGCTCATCGAGTAGTATCAGAAGAAGCAGCGATAGCTATTAATTATCTTTTACAAGCTAGTAGAACAGCTACAAATGATTATCATTCATTAGAACGCATTCTATCACAATGTGAATTCATTGAAAAATCAGCCCAACAGTATGTGAATGAATGGCTTCAATATAAAGATCACCAATACTTGCACCATTTTGTATTTCATGCCGCTTTGTTAATTACAAAATATTCAATTATTGCTATTCAACTTTGCTGTGAATTATTAGATAATGAAATAGATGGCTTTTGACAACGAGCTGAAAAATCTCTGAGTACTTTATGTTTCTTATCTTCAACATTCAATCGGGAAAATTTTGTTCAACTCTTTTCTACATTACTCCATGCACAACGTAATCAATCCATACTAGCTCGAGAAATTATATCAAAAATCTATGTACGCATTGATACAATCGAACATTTAAATATGTTATTAAATTGGGAACAACAACGAGTATATTATAAAACCATATCAAGCGAAAATTCTTTTCTACTTACTGATGATCTCGAGTTACAACGAAGTGATCTAGATGTATCTCTATTAAAATACGTTTATTTACAATCATCCTTAATCGAAATACGAACATATTTCTTCGAATATGCCTATGATCGATGTAATCAAATTCAAACGAAAAATAGCTTAGATGATATGCATGAACAATTTTATCTTGCTGAGCTGATTTCTTTTGATTATCATTATTGGTCCATGGTTGTAGAAACAGAACTATCAAATAGCGAAAAAAAATTTATCTTCTCTCTCATTCAATTGCTTACCAAAGTTTCTATCTGGCCGATCCTGGAAAAGCTATTGTGCTTGCTCTCATTGTTAATCGATCTAACTATCCATTTATACCTTTATTTACTCTAAATGAAGCTCAAGCATGTTTGAAAAATATTTTAACAAAAGTAATCGAGAATCCGATTGATGTTCATTTTTCTGATGAAATATTAGCAATAATAATAAAACATTATTATCATGGAAAATCTACAAACGAAGATAATGATCAATTGTTGTTAATTGAATTGCAACAATTAACATCAAGAATAATGGTTACAGAGGCAGCTGATAGAGCTATTCTTCGTTGTCGTTGTTTACAGAAAGTGAAACAATTATTACAGGAACTTATCGATCTTTTCCATGGTCAACACATTCGACTCTATCGCGCACTTATGTCAATTGTTGTCGATTTTCGAACAACAATCACAATCTGTTCAATTGCGTCCGATTTAATATGTTCTTATCAACAAGATTTACTACCTTTGTTTGCACGAGAACTATGCAATATCAATCTTTGGAGCGAATGTTCGAAGGGTGTGGGGTGTGGGTGTGGGTGTGGGTGTGTGGGTGTGGGTG